TTTTTTTTTTTTAATACAAATAAATGGAGGTTTCTTATCTATTTTCTTCCCTTCACCCAAACATATCCTTAGAGTTTATCAAACATAACTTTATAGGTAATGAAAGAACAAATTGATACATACATAATTTTATCTTATGTAGAGTCTCACAATAATTATTAAATTATATATCAAACTGTGAAGGTATATCAACTATAAGATTTATTATGTAGAAAAAGTAAATCATAATTATTAATATTATATGCATATAGTGAATGTTCTAAACAGTTTAATGATAATATTGCTTTTGAACAGAACAAAAGATCTTAAATTTTAGTTATAAACATGTAAATAAAGTAGATAAAAAAAATTAGAGATAATTGTTTTTTATAAAACAACAAAAAAATTATATAAATATATATATATATACATTTTTCAAAGAAGATGGTTATCACCAACCATGATGACTACCATAATGAAACCGTGCTTAATTGAAGCCTACAAAGAGATTCGTTTAATAACATATAAAATGTCATGGGACTAAAGTATGAGAAATAAAACACCAATTGTTGAAACGAAAATTGGGGGAAAAAAAAAAGTATCGAACCGTAGGCTCCAAGACTAATCTCCAATGAATAAAGTAAATAATTAAAATGATATAAAATAAAGAATTGAAAGAAAAAAATAATAATAACATAAAGTAAAAGTAAATAAAATCAAAACACTATAATTAGAAGGTCATGGCCGGCCGGACCTAATTATTTTTTTCTGTAAAGTCTAGGGGTCGGGCCCCAAGCCTCCCCTAACTCTGCCCCTGCCAATCCTAGCTACCATCCCTCGTGCCATCAATTCTTAAATCAACTGAATCACACCATCTCCACACACCATCCACACTAGACCCGCAAGATCCCCACACAACATCCACACCAGACCCGCGTGTTCCCTACAAAGTGGAACCTGGTAAGTCGTAGAGTTCTCTCCTCCTAATCTGGCTTTTCTCCGGACTAATCTTTCTCCACACACAAGTTATTCATGTTTGGACTTCAAGAATTCATATAAACAATTCACTTTTTTTTTGTTTTTTTTAACAAAAAAATGTTTTACAATATATAATACTATACATTAAAAGTGTAGTTTGATTTACAAATTTATTAAAGTATTTTTACTAAAAATATTTTTTATATTATTTTATTAAAAATATTTTAATAAATTTATAAATTAGACTGTATTTTTAATGTGTATTATATCATAGATAATATAAATCTCATGTATTTAATTAAAAATTTATAACATTAATCATTAAGGCATGAAACAAACTCTTTTTGTCCCATGCACCTTAGGATGTTTAGTCCACAAAAAATATCTCCCCAAACGATATTAAACATGCATCTCATATTAAAATTAATTAAAAAGTTATTAATTTTTATAAAAATTAACTTTAAATTTTAAATTTTAAATATAATTTAAATGATAATATTTACTTATCAATTAATTCCAATGAATTGCACTTAGTTGCATCAAAGATACCTAGAATTACATTAAAGATACCTTGAATTGGGGATAATTTAGTAATTATGAAAACATTTTTGACTACCAAATCCACATGTCTCTGTCGTATCTCCGTGTCCCTAGTTATAACTCTCCCGCTATTTATCCCTCATTTTGTTGGGAAGATTTCGTCTTCGTCCCTCTTTTGGCTCTCCTCCTCGAAGAAAACCACTCTCCGTAACTCAAAAGTCATTGCCTTTGACTCCTTTGTCTCGTTCCTCCTGCGTTTTCATCGATATTCCAGAAATCCCACCTCAAAACTCTCAAGAATCACTCGCCCATCTCGAAGAAAATGCTCGAATTCAAAACCACCAAGAAGAAAACGTGGATGTTTTCTTACTGATCTCTCCCCCCCTTAAAACCCCCAAGAATTCTCCTCTTGCGTAATGGAAGCTAGCACCATACGAGCAACAGCACTGATCATCAACAGGAACAACACCAACAGCAAAATCTTCAAAAATCAGAACTTCCCTCTTCAAAAGCTTTCTTTTTGGTTTGCACCCACTAGTCGCCCTCCTGGTATTGTTTGGTCTTAGAGAGAACGCTTAACGATCTTGAATTCCATGGTTGCTTACTACTCTAATAAGAATTCGTCATCTGGGCATGGTTTTCCGGGCCCCTTTGATCCGTTTTCGTACGATTTTGGTGCATTCGATGGAGGTTGCACAAGCAGGCCGCTTTCACAGTCTTTGGTTCTGGATAGCGGGAAGGGGGAGCTAGTAAAGGCGCCGGGGAGAGTAGGGAAAAAGAGTGTATCTGAGGATAAAATTACTGCGGCTTTGAAGAGTCATAGCGAGGCAGAGAGGAGGAGGAGAGAAAGGATCAATGCTCATCTCAATACACTTCGCGATCTTGTGCCCTGCAGAGAAAAGGTAATCTATATTTTTCAATATTGGTTTATATTGGTTATAACAGTAGTACTGCAAGTCAATCGATTTCGATTTGGTTGATGTTGTTTTCACATGCATGCTACGAATTGATTTATTCAATGTTGTCTTGTCTATTTCGAGCTGTAAGAATAGACGCAACACATTCCACATATTTGCTTGAGCTGTAGGTGGAGTCTGTTCCTTGCGAAGATAGGTCGGCCAAAATAAAGGTTTAGAGCTTTGAATGCTGGGATGGAAAATAAAAAACATCTCACATCTTAGGTTAGACAAGATTTTGGCATAAATGAGCTGAGTGTTTCTTTTTAAAGGAATTAGAGCAGATATTAGGAAATCTCATATTTATTTTATTTTATTTTATTGGCTCCAACTCCAATTGTTAGTATTTTAGCTAATAGTACCATAGATTGCTGAAATATGTTGACATTGAAGTTGAAAATATAGAATGGAGTCTGGTTCCTCATGAGTGATAATTGAAGAGTATGTTCTCCCATACCCTTTTCCTGATAGACTTATGTATATAACATTCTTGACCAATGGAAAAGGAACAAACGGGATAAAATCTGGCAAAGCTTTGTTTCCCAATGCCTTACGATGGTAGAGGTTATCCCACTGAATTGACATTCTGATAACACTGTCATACTTCTAATAAATTGAAAAAGTTCAATGCCCTGTAGAGTTAGATGTTTCTTCATCTTGAATTGGCATTCGGATATTGTCTATGCATTCCTTTTGCTGCTTTCTATTACAAGAAATTTTAAATAGGAGGTTATGTCAGCAGCTGATTCCTAAACCTTTATTCCATTCGTATAACTTAACTAAATGGTTTACTCTTTGTTGCATTTTTTTTGCACTTGGATTCAACTCTGCATTTACAAAACGAGAGTCAACTAGAAGATACACTAGTTTTCATGTTGTATAATATGTAGAATTCGATACTTTTGATATTAAGGTTTACATATGATTTTGGAAACCAACTTGTGGGGTCCCAACTTGTATCTTTCCCTGTAACTGGTATGTTTACCTGTTTAAATTCAGTTGCATCGTTTCACACCTACTATTTGCTGGGTATTCATAGAGTTTGGCTCTTTATCTTCATATCAAACCAGTCATCTAAGCTTGTTTACAAGAGTGACTTGCATGGTACGTAATAACAGAGTTTACACAGAAAAGACGAGGAGAGTGTATGTCTTTGTACTGTCCAGTATTAACCTTGTTTGATGAGGTAAGTAAATTGTAGAAAAAAGATATAAATAGTCCGGAGGAAGCTTCCTGCCATCTTATTTTATTCTGATTATATAAATAGTCCGGAGGAAGCTTCCTGCCATGTTATTTTATTCTCATTAAGTCAAAACAACATGCACAACTATAAACGTCGACAACTCCTTGTTTCTATGTTCAACTACTTCTATTTTTCTGATCTTCATGTTATTTAATAGGACAAATTTGAATTATAATTTTTTATGTAAATTTTTTCCATGAAATCCTATAGTCGGTTGGAAACCATATCTGTATTTGAAAGTGATGCAGAAAATAATGGTTAGATTGGTAGGACCATGTGCCAGCTGTTGGGCTATGATATCTGAAGAGGTCCATGTCTTTCTTGCATTATTATTATTATTATTATTATTATTATTATTATTTGTTGATTTCCTTTCTTATATTAATTAATTGTTTTGATTTAAGTTGATTACCCGGTCAATATGATATTTTATCATTTTGGGGACGTAAGCAAGGAAAAAACATCTAGGATAATTAATATTCTTCTTTGTACTTTTCTTTTTATTTCCTTGCTTCAGTTTGTCAAAGTTTGTTTATCTTTAACCAAGTCAGAGAATTCACCTAAGTTATTCCTTTTCCTTTTGGGGTATTTTCGCTTAAGTTATTATGGAAAAAGCTTGTGCTATTATTATGACATTACTAGCAGCCTGTTACTTTCTTGTTAATTGTAGTTGGCTTCTAAACTTATTGTTAGACAATAATTGCTACACACTCCGTTTCAACATATTATGTGACACATTTATTAAAAAATAATTTAATCTGAAATAAAAAACAAATAAGTTTAATGATACAATGATATACAAACCGATTGAATTGATTGTATTTATATTATATTTTTAATGATTAAACTGAAAGTGTGTTAAAAAAAGTGTTGAACCGAAAATGTACCAATCATTTTCCTTTATTGTTTTTGGATATTGTTAGTTAGGCTATAATTTTCTGTGGCCTGCTTTCATTTCAACTTCTTGTCCAATTTTTAACTGCAGATGGATAAAGCCACGTTGCTTGCTGAAGTTATTAAGCAAGTGAAAGAACTGAAGAAGACTGCACATGAAGCAAGTAAAGGTTTTCTCATTCCAGTGGATACTGATGAAGTGAGCGTCCAACAGTTTGATGATGAAGTGGATGGAACATTTTCTTTCAAGGCAACCATCTGCTCTGATAATAAACCCGAACTTCTGACTGACCTGAGGAAAGCTCTTGAAGGCCTTCAACTAAAGATGGTTAACGCTGAAATGTCAACCTTGGGTGACAGAATGAAGAATGATTTTGTTCTGACCAGCTGCACGAGTGTGCACGTTGACCCTGCTAAAGCACGTCAACTTCTTTCAGATTCCATTCACCAGGCCTTGAGTTCTGTCCTGGAGAAGGCTTCTGTCTCCCCTGAATACTCACCAAGAACAACACTAGTCCCGAACAAGAGGCAGAGGATCTCTTTTACGGATTCCTCAAGCTCGTCTTCGTAAGGGCATTGCTCTCATTGGTTTCACGTTGATTATGTTGATGTTAAATACTAAAGAAGTATGTAAAAGCTGCATATATTGTATAATTTCTGTTACAGAAACCGGTAATTAAGCTGGTAAGCTGTGAGTGGACATGACTATGGTTTGTACTAAATCGTAAAATTAGGAACTTTTTCTATGTATTTCTATGATGAAGGGTGCCTGTAATAAAATTTCCTCCGGAAATTCAAGAATGCCTATATCACATATATTTAAAAAAAAAAAATACAAAAATACAAAACTAGTTTACTGGTCTTCAAGCAATTAATCATCCTGCCAATCTGGAAGATCTTACACGTCTAACAGAACTGATGAAAACAGCCAACTCTTTTCAGCTGGACTGGGATACTGAAACAGAGGAGGATTATTTTGAAATAACTAGGTTTTTTTTTAACCCGTGCATTGCACGGGATTATTTTTATGTTTTTATATTAATTATTTAATTTTATAATAATTTTTAATAAAAAATTTAATTAATTTAAATATTAAGAAATTATTAATGAAAATAAGTATTTTTT